TCCAAAAGCACTGGTTCCCTTCCTCACTATTGGATGAAAGTACACAAAAGGTTGGGTGTTGAACCTCTTAAAATATCCACCATTTGTCTGCATTATCTAAAGGCAGTGGGGAGCCGGTCGGCCGAGCGGACAGCACGCTGGTCTTGTGATCCTGGGTTCGATCCCAGGCGCCGGCGAGAAACATTGGGCAGAGTTTCTTTCACCCTATGCCCCTGTTACCTAGCAGTAAAATAGGTACCTGGGTGTTAGTCAGCTGTCACGGGCTGCTTCCTGGGGGTGGAGGCCTGGTCGAGGACCGGGACGCGGGGACACTAAAGCCGCGAAATCATCTCAAGATAACCTCAATCGAAATCCTCAGATTAGGCAAAATTGTAATTAATTTTGTCAATAAAGATATTAATAATAATAATTTGTTCTGCCAATATTGTAGAGGTCCGAGAATGTAGGCTTCTACCCAAGCTAAGTTCTTCTAGGTCTTAATAGAATAGAATACCTAATAGACCTAGGTACTCTTCTAGGTCTATTAGAGTACGTATATGTACCAAATTAGGCCTGTGAGTACAATTATTAGGCCTAGCATTGCTTGTTTAGGGTCTCGAGTGCTTATTTAGGCCTTAGAATGTGTATTTAGGCCTAGAATAGGTTAGGTTTATGGTACTGCTCTAGTATTTGTTATCCACTTAGTACAGTACAAAACGTACAGTAGTACTCAGTACAGAATAGTACAAAACGAGAACTATTTTGATAATACAGCATCTTGTGTTATACATTCCATCCATTATAGCTATATATAGGTTCTATAATTTTGTGAGGGTCCGATTGCTATAGTATAATGTAAAATATCGTATATTGTCCTTTTATATAATAATCTTTAATTTGACTCCCGATAGAATTATAAATTTCACAAAAACTGAAAAGATTTTTGAAAGAAATTCATAAATAATTTCTCGCTGAAAACGCCGAGAATTTATTTCGGAAAATCAGAATGGAGGGAGAAGGCGGGAGAGGGGGAAGAAAATGCGGCTGCCAACATTATTTTTGCATCTATTGAAAACAAGTGAAAGACGGTGGATCTTAAATATGGGAGGAGGCGCGGGGGGGGGGGTTGTATTGGCCAGTCTGAGGTTTATTTGTAGTGGTGTTGTGTCATTATGTGTCTCCTCCTCCTTCTTCCTTCTCCTCCTCATCATCCTCATCATCATCCTCATCATCCTCATCATCATCCTCCTCATCATCATCATCAGCATCATCGTCAGGAATTGAGGACTATAGAGAGGCATTAAAGAAAACCAGAATTTTTTTTCACTCGATTTAGGGAACAAGCTAAAAGATACTTTGGAAATGACTTGTGTGGTAAAAGCTGAGGACCAATCAGAGGTCTTCTATAGTTATGTAAGGACCAATCAGAGGTCTTCTATAGTCATGTAAGGACCAATCAGAGGTCTTCTATAGTTATGTAAGGACCAACCAGAGCTCTTCTATAGTCATGTAAGGACCAACCAGAGCTCTTCTATAGTCATGTAAGGACCAACCAGAGCTCTTCTATAGTCATGTAAGGACCAACCAGAGCTCTTCTATAGTCATGTAAGGACCAATCAGAGGTCTTCTATAGTTATGTAAGGACCAACCAGAGCTCTTCTATAGTCATGTAAGGACCAATCAGAGCTCTTCTATAGTCATGTAAGGACCAACCAGAGCTCTTCTATAGTCATGTAAGGACCAACCAGAGCTCTTCTATAGTCATGTAAGGACCAATCAGAGCTCTTCTATAGTCATGTAAGGAGACACAGAGCAGTGTGAGACCATGTACAGGCCTCATTTTTGTTACCCCCCCCCCCCCCCCCAGGAAGCAGCCCGTAGCAGCTGTCTAACTCCCAGGTACCTGTTTAATGCTAGGTAACAGGAGCATCAGGGTAAAAAAAACGCTTCCCATTTGTTTCCGCCTCCACCGGGGATCGAACCCGGAACCTCAGGACTACGAATCTAAAGCTCTGTCCACTCAGCTGTCGGCGTGGGTAAGAATTGACAGAATTGACGTTGAATCAACATCAATTCATCGTGATGACGTTCTCAGTGATGAATTGGCGGTACTCTTGGATAATGTGTCCGCTGAGATGTGGAATGCACTGAAAAAATAAGAAGTAGTGGAAGCCACCTCCATCCGTAACTTTTAAGGCCAGATTGGGCAAAGAAAGCGAGCGTCAGTTAAGTTAAAACAAACTGTACTGAACAAATCCACAAGGGCCGTGACTAGGGTTCGAACCTCGTCACGGCCTTTGTGGATTTGTTCATTTGATGCATCACGCTATTGTAATTTCTGTGTGTAAACTGTACCGTGTGTGTATTAGAGTAGCAGGCGGGTAATATAAAGAGTTATACGTCACTTTCCCGTAAACACTATTAGGTTAGCACCATCACCACCACTACTACCATCTCCCGTCTGTGGCACCACCATCCCCGTCTCTCTTACCACTACCACACAACCACCACACCCCGTATCGGCCACTACCACCACTACAACCCATCATCAGCATCACTAACCACGCACCAGCCACCACCACCACTACCACCACCACCACCACCTCAACATCATAGCTACCACAACCACTAGCCACCACCAGTACCACCACTTAACTCAGCCAAACAATGCCTTCCCTGCACGATAAAAGCTTCCCCGTGCAGGTACAACCACCCACCCTACAACCTTTCTACCACAACCACCATCACCACAACCACCCCCCCCCCCCTCGGCCAACACTGCCAACACCAACCTCACCTCTAGCGTCATCAAGAGAGATTAAAGTGAAGTGCTTCGGCTCGTCAATTCCACCGCTATTCACACGTGACGTAAGAGCGATATTCATGTTTACAATATGAGGATCAGGGCCCTCCCCTCTGAATGCAAGACGTCGCAATTTATGGGTAAATTTTAATAACGCTGCTAATCTCAAGACCCAACTGCCTCAGATAAAGACACGGAGGCCAAGGTGAGGCAGGGGCAGGGGCAGGGGCAGGGAGGCAGCGTGGGGCAGGGGGCAGGGAGGCAGCGTGGGGCAGGGGCAGGGAGGCAGCAGGGGGCAGGGGCAGGGAGGCAGCAGGGGGCAGGGGGCAGGGAGGCAGCAGGGGGCAGGGAGGCAGCGTGGGGCAAGGAGGCAGGGGGGCAGGGAGGCAGCGTGGGGCAGGGAGGAAAGTCAGGGGCAGGGAGGAGAGCCAGGGGCAGGGAGGAGAGCCAGGGGCAGGGAGGAGAGCCAGGGGCAGGGAGAGGAGCCAGAGGCAGGGAGAGGAGCCAGAGGCAGGGAGAGGAGCCATGGGCAGGGAGGAGAGCCAGGGGCAGGGAGGAGAGCCAGGGGCAGGGAGGAGAGCCAGGGGCAGGGAGGAGAGCCAGGTGCTGGGAGAAGAGCCAGGGGCAGGGAGGAGAGCCAGGGGCAGGGAGAGGAGCCAGGGGCAGGGAGGAGAGTCAGGGGCAGGGAGGAAAGCCAGGGGCAGAGAGAGGAGCCAGGGGCAGGGAGGAGAGCCAGGGAGAGATAAGAGAGGGGGTAAGAAAGCAGGTAGAAGAAAGGGAGAGAAATAGAGATATAAAAGAGAGGAGGGACGAGGTAGTACGAGGTGAAATGGGAGAGGGAAGATAATGAGAGAAAATTGAGAAAACAAGAGAGGGCAATAATAATATACAAGAGATAGAGAGGAAGGAGAGAAAGAATGAATGAAATGAGAAGAGAGGTGAAGGAAAGCAGTACTAGAGTAGAAGATGGAAGGAGGGAAGTAAGAAGGAAGAGGGAGAGAAAAGAAGACAGGGAAAGGAAAGTGAGAATCAAGGGGGAGGGGGAAGATAGAGAGAAAGACGGGAATTGAAATAAAAAGAAGCACAAGACGTAAGAAGAAAGGGAATTGGAAAAGAACGGAAGGAAAGGGAGAATAAGGGGGATGGAAGTGAGATGTAGGGGGGGGAGGGAAGAGGAAAAAAAGGATGACAATGAGAAGGAACAGGGAAGACGTGAGAAGAAAAGGTAGAGAAATTAAAACAAGAGAATATCAAGGTTAATTAGGTAGTATAGGAAGTAAGAAAATGGGAAGGGATGGGAAAGGGAGTTGATAGAAAAGCAAAGTAAAAAAGGAGGAAGAAACAACGAAAGAGACACCGGAAAAGGAATAAAAGTAGGAAGAGTGAAAATCGAGAGTAAAAAAAATAAGAAGGAAGCATAAATTTGAAGAAGTACTTAGAACTGAAAGGCAGATAGTGAAGAAATAAAGGGTAAAAAAAAGAGAGAAATGCAACCAAGTGGAAGAGAGAGAAGAGAGGAGAGAGAGAAGAGATAATGCGGTGATGGATGCCAGTGACGGAGGGACTCCAAGGTGGCAAGAGGAGACTTTTAAGGAGACGAAGGAGACTAGAAGGAGACGAAGAGAATCTTGGAGATAAAGGAGAGGAGAATATGTAGGGGAGGGAATGTGTTGGGAGAAGATAAGGTTAGAGAGAGAGAGAGAGAGAGAGAGAGAGAGAGAGAGAGAGAGAGAGAGAGAGAGAGAGAGATATCCTCACTCCATACACACGATATCTTACGATGAAACAGACATACGGGCATATATATCCCATATACCCCACACCTAGGTGTGTGGGTTTCCGCATACCATGACGATATCCTGCCTTACCCGGACAAGCCATACTGACATATCCTAACACAAGATGACCGTCGGCTGAGATAGCAAGACTTGTTGCTCGATATCTCTGTGGCCTCATCACATTGCAATATATTTATCTGGAATCTGTCCTCTGGTATATACACCACACGTGTGTGTGTGTGTGTGTGTGTGTGTGTGTGTGTGTGTGTGTGTGTGTGTGTGTGTGTGTGTGTGTGTGTGTGTGTGTGTATGTATATATATATATATATATATATATATATATATATATATATATATATATATATATATATATATATATGCAGCTGACCTTAAAGGTTTGGAGTGAGACTTAACAGACGTGGTGAGGAGGTGGGCAGTACCTTGGAAGGTGATGGCATGATCTTGACTTCGATCATGGCGGCATCTTGTGTTCTGCTTTGTTTGTGTCGCAGCTGCTCCTCCATTCCGTCCTCATATCCCAGCTCCTTGTTCTCATATCCCAGCTGCTTGTCCTCATATCCCAGCTCCTTGTTCTCATATCCCAGCTGCTTGTCCTCATATCCCAGCTGCTTGTCCTCATATCCAAGCTCATTGGCCACGTCTCTCAGTTCCTTGTCCTCATATCCCAGCTGCTTGTCCTCATATCCCAGCTCATTGGCCACGTGTCTCAGTTCCTTGTCCTCATATCCCAGCTGCTTGTTCTCATATCCCAGCTCCTTGTTCTCATATCCCCGCTCCTTGTCCTCATGTCCCAGCTCATTGGCCTCATTTCTCAGTTCCTTGTCCTCATATCCCAGCTCCTTGTCCTCATATTACCAGTTCCTTGTCCTCATATCGCAGCTCCTTGTCCTCATATTACCAGTTCCTTGTCCTCATATCCCAGCTCCTTGTCCTCATTTCCCAGCTCCTTGTCCTCATATCCCAGCTCCTTGTCCTCATATCCCAGCTCCTTGTCCTCATATCCCAGCTCCTTATCCTTATATCCCAGGTCCTCGTATCCTTTCCAAGCACCATATGACCATTTTGGCTTAGCACTTCCTCCTCATAATTACCCGAAAAATAAAATAAAAATTTAATTAGGTGTTTTATATATTTATTGTCCATCAAAAACAAGTATAATTCTTATAGCAACTATTTCGTAGTCTATTGACTGTTGCTAGTCAATAGTCTATTGACTATTATGTCAATAGTCTATGTAGTCAATAGTCTATTGACTATTGACTAGCAAATGGTGCAGTCAACAAGGCTCACATTGTGTACTAGATCTGCTTATTTAAATAGGCCTACTATAGTACATATATGTACTAAAGTAGGCTACTAGAGTACATATATGTACTAAAGTAGGCTACTATAGTACATATATGTACTAAAGTAGGCCCAAGTTAACGAATATTAGGTCTGGGTTTGGTTATATAGGCCTAGGGTAAGCTAGATTTCGTTCTTCATTTGCTGTTCTGTTCTATTTCTTGCTTGCCATTTGGAGGATTCGAACGGGGCAAATCGTGAACTTTTTGGGGGTCCAACGGTCCATTTTTGTACGTTTGAGCAAATTGTTCATGATACCACTATAATTTGTTATTAATAATGGTCAACAGGTGTAAAAAAAATTGTATTGCGAATAATAACATTACTTTAATCAGCTTTATTTTTGTATGCACATTTTATAATTTTCAAATGATTGTGACATTTTATTGTAAATTAAGAGGCATGAGTTAGATGGTAGTGGAAGTGAGGGGGTGATAGCAGGTGAAAGGAAGGAAACTTAGAAGAAAGCGCCAAGCCATTACGACTATATCTGCCCGAAACGCTGCGCGTACTAGTGGCTTTACAAGAATGTAATTACTATGCTATGTATCCTCACAATCCCAATGTACCTTCTTGTATATATATAAATAAATAAATAAATAAATATAGCACTGGTAAGGGGTCAGGATAAACATTTGGGATGGGACGGGGGGCAAGGAATGGTGCCCAACCACTTGTGGACGGTCGGGGATTGAACGCAGACCTGGATGAAGGTGAGAGAGAGGAAGGTGAAGGCACACAAGGGGTCCTGAACAATGATAACCTCATAAAGCCTCAACCACTTGGTAGTCTAGTGGGCGCGCGCACGCTTAGGTACGCGAGCGCGCGAGCACACACTCTCAAATGAGCCACAGAGACATTAGAAACAACTTCTTTAGTGTCAGAGTAGTTAACAAGTGGATGCATTAGTGATGTGGTGGAGGCTGACTCTATACACAGTTTCAACTGTAGATATGATAGAGCCCAATAGGCTCAGGAACCTGTACACCAGTTGATTGACGGTTGAGAGGCGGGACCAAAGAGCCAGAGCTCAACCCCCGCAAGCACAACCAGGTGAGTACACATACAAGTCCTCGCACCCGAGTAAACTGCTCTCGGGGGGGGGGGTCGTAGTCTTAAGGGTCCGGGTTCGATTCCCAGCTAAGGCAGAAAAAAATTGAAGTTCTTTTACCTGATGTACCTGTTCCTAGGAGGGAAATATGTACCTAGGAGTTAGTCACGTGCCCCTAGGTACATATTTCCTAGGTTATGAGAGAAGAAAAATCAGTCAGGAGTCAGTACACTAGATAACCGACGGTTAGAAAGGCGGGGTCCAAGAACTAACAGCTCGTTCTTGCAGGCACAAATAGTAAATACACACACCCACACACCTGTGATAATTGGTATGTGTGTACAATCCATACTCACACACGTGTATACACAAGTAAGAACTAGTATATTCATGTATACACTAAATACTCAGGATCTCTTGCCATGGCGAGTGCTGTCGGGTTGTTGGGTAAATAGTCTCCGACTACCAATGACTAGAACAGTCATGGGGGTGTATTGGTCACATTACTGGATATGCTAGTGTGTTTGGAGCGCCGGGCTATCTTAGGTTCGAATCCGTCACGAGGAAGAGTTTATCTCTCTCTCTCTCTCTCTCTCTCTCTCTCTCTCTCTCTCTCTCTCTCTCTATCTCCCTCTCTCTCTATCTATCTCTCTCTCTCTCTCTCTCTCTCTATCTCTCTCGATCTCTCTCTCTCTCTCTCTCTCTCTCTCTCTCTCTCTTCTCTCTCTCTCTCTCTCTCTCTCTCTCTCTCTCTCTCTCTCTCTCTCATCTCTCTCTCTCTCTCTCTCTCTATATATATATATATATATATATATATATATATATATATATATATATATATATATATATATATATATATATATATATATATGTCGTACCTAGTAGCCAGAATGCACTTCTCTGCCTACAATGCAAGGCCCGATTTGCCTAATAAGCCAAGTTTTCATGAATTAATTGTTTTTCGACTACCTAACCTACCTAACCTAACCTAACCTAACTTTTTCGGCTACCTAACCTAACCTAACCTATAAAGATAGGTTAGGTTAGGTATAGTTGGTTAGGTTTGGTCATATATCTACGTTAATTTTAAGTCCAATAAAAAAAATTGACCTCATACACAATGAAATGGGCAGCTTTATCATTTCATAAGAAAACAATTAGAGAAAATATATTAATTCTGGAAAACTTGGCTTATTAGGCAAATCGGACCTTGCATAGTAGGCTGAGAAGTGCATTCTAGCTACTAGGTACGACATATATATATATATATATATATATGTGTGTGTGTGTGTGTGTGTGTGTGTGTGTGTGTGTGTGTGTGTGTGTGTGTGTGTGTGTGTGTGTGTGTGTGTGTGTTGACGGGCTCCCAACAATTTATGTCCATTTCTGTATTTGGCACCTCGGCCCCAAGCTATTAATTGCCCAACGTGACTAGCACTTCCGTAATTACAAGCTCGCATTCTCCAGGAATCAATCCATTGGAGCGAAGTGCACACGTGTTGGCGGATATAAAACACTTTCTTACAAAATATTAATAAATATATTCGTGCTAAAAATACAAAAATAAATTAATATCCAATGACTGTTTTTGGGGTAACTGTTAATGGTCTAAGATCTTGCCACTTAATCCTAGAAGTCTCCAAGATCTTGATAAATATTCTGAAATTCCTCCGAAAACTTGCCTAATATCCCCAAGTTTCTCCCAGTTCTTGTTAAATATTCCCAAGTATTTCCCAGACCTTGCTAAATGTTCCCAAGTATCTCCTAGACCTTGCTAAATATTCCTGAGTATTTTCCAGACTTTACTAAATATTCCCAAGTATCTCCCAGACTTTGTTAAATATTCCCAAGTATCTCCCAGACCTTGCTAAATTATCCCAAGTATCTCCCAGACTTTGTTAAATATTCCCAAGTATCTCCCAGACCTTGCTAAATTATCCCAAGTATCTCCCAGACTTTGTTAAATATTCCCAAGTATCTCCAAGACCTTGCTAAATTATCCCAAGTATCTCCCAGACCTTGCTAAATATTCCCAAGTATTTCCAAGACTTTGTTAAATTATCCCAAGTATCTCCCAGACCTTGGTAAATATTCCCAAGTATCTCCCAGACCTTGCTAAATATTCCCAAGTATCTCCAAGGCCTTGCTAAATTATCCCAAGTATCTCCACAGACCTTGGTGAATTATCCAAGACCTTGGTAAATATTCCTACTTATCTCCCACCTGTTCCGTGAAGCCACAGTTGTAGCGACTGGTTCTGCCTCTTGTGAATAAAGCATTCGATTATAATGTATATTTTCAACAGATTCATGACTTCCTGTTATCTATTTATAGCTGCATCATGCACCTTCAATATTTAGCGAAGGTTAAATTTGCGTGTGATTAATTTTCAGACAAATATTTGATTATTGGAGTGTGTGTATGTGTGTGTATTTACTGTTTGCTTTTTACTATTTGTGTCTGCAGAATCGAGCTATTAGCTCTTGGACCCCGGTTTTCTAAATAGTCTATTTTCCCGTTATATTTACTACATTTTTTTCTCTCTAACACACACACACACACACACACACACACACACACACACACACACACACACACACACACACACACACACACACACACACACACACACACACACACACACACACAAGTGTAGTATCTGTTCTTATCAGCTTAATATCTGATACGATCCCCATATGGGATCCTCGATATTAAACTGATTTTTGCAACATGGCAAAGTGCTAGGAGCTTGCTCCACCTTTGCCGCGGATCGGCCCAGTATTTCAGTACCTCTGGCATCGGTCCACTGATTTTAGGCGGGACCAAAGAGCCAAAGCTCAACCCCCGCAAGCACAAATAGGTGAGTACACATACTAGGTAAGTACTAGGTAAATACACACATCCCCAGGAAGCAGCAGCCCGTAGCAGCTGTCTAACTCCCAGGTACCTATTTACTGCTAGGTGAACAGTCGCATTAGGGTGAAAGAAACCGTGCTCATTTGTTTCCGCCTCCGCCGGGAATCGAACCCGGGCCATTAGGACTACGAACACCAAGCGCTGTCCACTTAGCCGCGAGGCCCCTGTGTGTGTACTCACCTATTTGTGCTT